TGGAGTCAGCGGGAGCGGAGACACCCAGCACGGCCGGGAGAGCCGCAGGCTCGGGATGGCAGCCAGCTCACTCTGCCCCTACCCAGGTAAGCACAAAATTCCTGAGGTCACAAAGAAACAAAGGGGAAAACAGGAAAAAGAGCTTCAAAGAGGGAAATTCCCAGGTGCTGACTTTTATCTACAGACACAACTCTGCCTGGGCTTCTCCTGAGAGCAGCAGCACAGCCTGGGACCAAGCCCAGAGAACAGGTGTGCAGTGGGCAAGGAAGAGCCCGGGCACTGGCCAGGGCACAGGGGCACTGCCCACCCGGAGCACACGGGCAGGGAAACGGCCCTTTGCCGGACAAACCCACCTGGTGATGGAAGTGAGCCCCCAGAGCGCTGCTCTGCCCTGCAGACACGGCAGGACCCTGCTCTGCCAGCACAGGGCATCTCCACCACAAGGGCCCGGGCCCCCTGTGTGCTCTCAGTGGCTCAGGAGCAGCCTGGTGCTGCTCCCAGACCTCCTCCCACAGGCAGCCCTACTCCGCAAGCCAGAGCTGTGGGAGAAGCCCACTCAGGCTGAGCCCCCAGAGCTCACAGTGCACCCAGAGCCAGCAGCTGAACCAGCCTGTCCCCCAGCAGTAAAGCAGCAGCACCTGCCGTGCTTTGGCCAGTGCTCACCTCTCCAAGCCGCCCCTCCTGCTCTGCACCATCCCCTCCTGGGGCCGGGGCCTGCAGGGCAGCAGGATTTATAGCTGCTCCTGCCCGCAGCACTCACTGGTGGCCACAAGCACCTGGGGGCCCTGGAGTGACGCAGCCTTGCAAGCAGCAGGGCCATTTCCATGTGTTTAATTAGGTAACTGGAGCCTGCTGTTTTCTGCTGTCAAACCTACACGGAGAGCAGCTTCTGGAGGCCTGTGCTCAGGTCCATGCTACTTCTTGTCTCGGAGAATTGAACTTGAGCTGCATCCCTGCAAGTTCAGCGCTGATGAGCAGATCCCAGAGAAGCGGGATGCTGTGCTTGGTGTTCCGTGGCTCTCTCTGCACTGCAGGGAAAAGGAGCAGTGTGGCAGAAGGCCCAGGGCTGGTGGGGGCACTGGGCACTGCCTGCTGAGGGCCAGGGCTCACAGGCAGCTCCTGGGCTGTCCCTGTGGGGAGGCTCCAGCCCTGGGCCGTGCTGCTCAGAGGTATCAGAGCCGGTTTTGTGTCTGCCCCACGGGCTCACAGCCTCAATCACCCCGCTCCATTCCTGCCAGGTGCAGGGACCAGGCAGCAGCAGGAGGAAGAGGAGGCGGAGCAGAAGCAGGTGGCCTGGGTGACCTCCCCAGTCACAGGAAGGACACGTCCATCCTCTCACTGCTGCTCAGCCTGGTTCCACCGCCAACTACTCCTAATGACACTTCAACAAACACACAACAATCTGTCTTCATGAAAATCAGTGAATAAATTTAATTTAAAAATACTTTTCTATTTCTGGGTAGGCACCACTCTGCTCCAGCTACTTCAGAATCAGCTGAACAGTGCCCAACAGCCAGACTGCACAAGACTGTAATGGCAAAACACAGCATCCAACCCTCTGTGAGCTTAATAAGCAGCTCCCCTCACCCCTCCTCTTTATGAAGTGTAGATGGGGTCTCAGTGTTGGCCTCCACCCTCCAGCTGGTGTGTATGTACCTCATGAAGGGGAAAAAGGAAAAGAAAGCCTGAGCCATGCAGCTGCCCCGGGGTCTGTCCCTGTGGGGTGGGCATGGAGCAGGGCAGTGGTGCCCGCTGCTGCTGCCCAGCACAGGACACCAGCATCGGTTTGAGAGGTGGAACATTTCAGAGTGGCTCTTTCTCTGCTGGCTGCAGGTCCCCACAGCCTGCACATCCCTGCAGAGTCACGCTGGCCTAATTATGTCTTGAGGCAAACACAAGTTATTTACTGAGAGTGCAGGGTTCTGCCGCGGGCACCGCAGTGCGCTCAGAGCCCACGGCCAGCGGGCACTGCCCCCAGGAGCGGTGGGCATCCATCCCGTGCCAGGAGGGCACTCCCACCCTGGCCTTGGGGTCTGCAGACTCAGGCAGGGCCGCATTGGCCCCTTTCAGCAGCAGCGCTGGGCGCCGTGCTCGTGGGTGGGTGGGAGGGTGAGCTGCCAGCTCAGATCTATAATCTGTAGCAGCTTGTAAGAGGCACCCCCTCTCCCTGCCCTCCAGGAGCTAAAAACAGTCTGAAGGTCCCTCTTCCCCCGGGAAGGAGGCATGTGGCATCCACTTGCCTGGCGCAGAGTGGCTGAGGCTTTTATGTGCTCTGGAGGTGCTGCCGTTCTGTGCCCTCGTGGCACACTCAGCCCTGGCTGCTGCAGGGGCCACTGAACCCTCATGGACACTCAGCAGGGCTGCTGCAGAGGCCACTGAACCCTCATGGACACTCAGCAGGGCTGCAGAGGCCACTGAACCCTCATGGACACTCAGCAGGGCTGCAGAGGCCACTGAACCCTCATGGACACTCAGCAGGGCTGGAGAGGCCACTGAACCCTCATGGACACTCAGCAGGGCTGCAGAGACCACTGAACCCTCATGGACACTCAGCAGGGCTGCAGAGGCCACTGAGCCCCTCCTGGCACACTCAGCAGGGCTGCAGAGGCCACTGAGCCCCTCCTGGCACACTCAGCAGGGCTGCAGAGGCCACTGAACCCTCATGGACACTCAGCAGGGCTGCAGAGACCACTGAACCCTCATGGACACTCAGCAGGGCTGCAGAGGCCACTGAACCCTCATGGACACTCAGCAGGGCTGCAGAGGCCACTGAGCCCCTCCTGGCACACTCAGCAGGGCTGCAGAGACCACTGAACCCTCATGGACACTCAGCAGGGCTGCAGAGGCCACTGAACCCCAGCCCTGTGCCCTGCAGCTCCTGGGGATGATGAGGACAAAGCTGTTCCACTTTGCTTTGGGATCCATTGGATCCATTCACAGTTCTGTTTCCTTCCTAATCTAATCAGATGAAAATACAAACTGAGTGCTAATCACAGAGCACAAATAGGGAAGAATTCATAAAAAAGAAAAACAACACTCACCACCTTTGCCTTCAGTAAAGCTTAAGTCATTTTGAACCACTGGCAGAGGAGCTGAGGCTGCTTGCAGCATCCCTCATTGCCAGCGTGAGCCCCGGCAGCCCAGCCCAGGCTGCAAAGCAGCACCAAGCGCAAGGAAACTGGAGATGAAACAGAGTGCGGTCACTGGCTCCTGGCATTGTCCTGAAGATGTTGGTCAACATTTTAGTTTAGCTAAATGGCCACTAGACTACAGAAATACAGAAATATTTTGTTTTGACATAATCATGATCTGGGGGGGGCAACTTTTGAAAAAACACATTAACCCTTTCCACACTGTACTTCTGAAGAATCCTGAGAGTAGGGCAGGGGTGGCTGCAGCCTGATGGCATTATCGGAGACATCCTCAGATTTACAGTCTTGTTCTCTAAGATTTGTAGTACTCTTACTTTGAAAACACAGGGCTGAAACATAGCAAGGTTTGTAAGGAGAGTGGTCTTGGGCCTTAACTGCCCCTCCTGCTCTCCTTAGGCAATCCATCAGGATGTTCGAGCAGGCAGTCCCGAGATAGGAATTCAGCTGATAAAGGGAATGCAAATTGCAGGTACCGAGAGGTGCCTGGCCTCCCGTGCCGAAGCCAGCAGGGCAGGAAGGGGCCCCTCGGGCCCCTCTGGCTGTGCCCGGCTCGGTCCCGCTGGGCTGGGCTCGCACCCGGGCCCTGCCCGCAGGGAGAGGGGCTGGCCGTGCTCAGCACCGGTTGTGCCCCCTTGCCCGGGCACCAGCGCCCGGCCGGCCAGCCTGGAGCCGGGAGCGCTGGCAGTGCTGGAGCTCCGGTGCTCAGAGCACCAGAAGGCGCTCCGAGGGTCAGCCTGGCCCTGTCCCGGTGCCCCGGTGCCAGGGGCGGGCCGGGGTGAGCATCCCCCGAACGCGACAGGAGCGATCGCACCGGGGGCGGGCAGCCGGGGCCGGGCCGGGCCGGCACCTGCAGCAGGCCCGTGCGAGGCCGCACAGTGTGCCAAGCCCGTGCCAGGCCGCACAGGGTGCCAGGCCCGTGCCAGGCCCACAGGGTGCCAGGGCTGCCCCGTGTCCTCAGCACAGCGCGGCTGAGCTGCTCCCGCAGCAGGCCCGTGCCAGCCCGCACAGGGTGCCAAGGCTGCCCCCCGTGCCCTCGGCACACCGCGGCCGAGCTGCGGGAGCTGCAGGCCCGGGCTTGAGCCGCTCCGAGCGCGGCCGCGGCCCCGCAGCCGGAGCCGAACAGGTTGGGCGGCTCCGGGCCGTGGGAGGAATAATCGCTCGGGGTTGATTCAGCGAGCCGAGGCGGCCAAACCGGGCGGGGATGGCACCGCGGAGCCGGCCGTGCCCCCGCCGGGTACCGCCGGCCGGCGCTGCCGTCTGAAGGGCTTTTCCAGAGCCGCGGCGGGGCGGCGTGCAGGTGTGCGGCGTGCAGGTGTGCGCGGGGTGTGTGGAGTGTGCGGTGTGCAGGTGTGCCGCAGGTGTGCAGAGTGTACGCGGAGTGTGCGGCGTGTAGGTGTGCAGAGTGTGCAGGTGTGCGGAGTGCGCGGGGTGTGCGCGGGGTGTGCGCGGGGTGTACCCGGGGTGTGCGGAGCGTACGGCGTGCAGGTGTGCAGGCGTGCAGGTGTGCGCGGGGTGTGCCCCGGGTGTGCCGGGAGCGCCGCCGCAGCCGGAGCCCCGCACCGCCGGTCGGGGCTGATGCTTATCTCGGACTCTCATCTCCCGAGCTGCGCATTTTCCCGTGCCGTGCCGGTCCTGCTGCGCGCAGCGAGAGCGCTGCAGCCTGCCCCGCGCCCCGCCGCCCCGGCCCGGCTCCGGGAGCCCCTGCCCGGCCAGCAGCCCCCGGGCTCCGGCGCCGAGCCCCGGCCGCAGCCCGGAGCCGTCCCCTCGCTCCAGCTGACTCAGGGGTGACTCATTCGGAGCCGGGCTGCGGGCGCAGCGAGTGCGCTCCAGATTGGCTGGGAGCGCAGCTCTGGATGTAGGTGGCTGCGTTACGCGCTCCGGCGGCGCAGCTCTGCTCCGTGCTCCCTCCTCCTCCTCGCCCTCCGTCAGGATCGCTGCCTGAGCCCGGGCTCTGCTTCTCGCGGGAGGGCGTCTCAGGCGGCTCCGCTGGATGCGGGCTGCGGACGGCCCCGGCCCCGCTCCCGAAGGGGTTCTGCGCTGAAGATGGATGACTTGGCTCTCCTTGACCTCTTGGAGTGTCCCGTGTGCTTTGAGAAGCTCGACGCCTCGGCAAAGGTGCTGCCGTGCCAGCACACCTTCTGCAAGCCCTGTCTGCAGAGGATCCTGAAATCGCAGAAGGAGCTGCGGTGCCCCGAGTGCAGGACCCTCGTCCTGGGCAGCATTGAGCAGCTGCCCTCCAACCTGCTCCTCATTCGCCTCCTGGATGGAGTCCGGTGCGGACAGAACGCCGGCAGGTTCGGCTCGGTGCAGAGGTCGGGGGTCCTGTCGTCCCCCGCCTCCATCAGGAGGGTCCCCAGGGGGCTGCAGCTGCACCAGCACCGGCTGGCCACCAATCCCCGGATCCACATGGAGGGGGTAAGGAGGCTCTTACTTCTTTCTTCTGCCCATGAGCATAGAAAGGTTCCTGCTGCGTGCCCAGAGCCAGGAACCTTCTCTGTCAGCAGCACTGCAGAGTGCTGAAGTGAGACTGAGTGGTTTGTGTGCAGATTTGGCTGCTGTTTCAGTGTGATATTTGACTGTTTCCAGCTCACTACAGCAGAAACTGACTCCCAGGCTGAGACAAAGCCAGCCTGCCCCTCTTACAAAAACTTCCCAGCAGCTCTTTGCTCCCAGAGTTTTCAGATGCTTCCTGGCTTTTGAGGGCATTTCAGGTGCTTGGACTTTCAGGCAGTACACTGCTTTTGACTGATAACAATTAAGTCAGTAATTGCAGAGCTGTAACTGTTAGTGGTGGAGAAGGTATTCCCATAGCTGCACCTCAGTTTCCCTGCACTGGAAAAGAAGGGGGGGTGCCCAATGCAGCTGCTGCTGTTCTATCAAAGTTCTTGGAAGTTCACTAGTTAAGGATTTTAAATTTGACTCACTTATGACTGTACCTAGGGATGATTTACTAGGCTAATTTTAAAATTCTAAGTTCTTTCCATCATTTTCTTTAACAATACAAAAGCTTTTCTTGAATAATGAGGACCGGATATTAGACCTGTTAAAAGAGCTTGGCTCAGTTGGAATTTAGGGAAGAGACTTGTGGCTTCACCTTTCCCACATTATATTCCTGGATTTCCATTTCTCTCACCTCAGCTGCTCTGTACATTGCCTCTAAAGCCTTTTAATAGCACTCAGCAGGTTGGCTGAAAGGGCAGCTGAGCCCCAGAGCCTGCTCAGAGCTGTAGAGATCAGGGGGGCACAACACAGATGTGGTGCCCATGGAGCCATGCAGTGCTGCTGTGTCCTGTGGTGTGAGCTGGCACGTGTGTCCCGGGGAATCTCTGTGGTGCTGGTGAGGGATCTGATGGATCTCACACCAAACCTGAGGGATCTGATGGATCTCACACCAAACCTGTGGTGTGAGCTGGCACGTGTGTCCCGGGGAATCTCTGTGGTGCTGGTGAGGGATCTGATGGATCTCACACCAAACCAGGCATCCCGCGGGAGCTCCTGTCCCTGGTGTTCCCTCTGTGCAGCCTGAGCCCGGGGCACCATCCTGGGAGCACAGCCTGGCCCAGCACAGCCAGGGCCGGGGGCAGAATGGAGCAGGTCCTCGGGCTGGGGGCTCCCTCCACAGGGCCCTGCTCGGGGTCACACCCTTGCTGGGAGCCCCCAGCCCTGCAGGAGCTGCCGGGGGACAAACCCTCGTGCAGGGGACAAACCATCCAACAGTGACAGCTTTCAGTCACTGCCACCCCGGGCAGCATTCCAGCTGACAAGGAGAGGGTTGTAGATTTTCCAACTGGACTCTCCTGGCCCTGGATAAAAGAGCACAAATGCCCTTGTCTGGCTTTCTTCTCTCTCACTCATTTCACGTTTCTTGAACTGGTTCTCGGGACAGGTAGGAACTTGCTGCTGGTATAAAATGGCAACATCCATCCATCCATAGCTCCCAAAAGCTTTTAAGACCAACTTAAGACCAAACCCCTTGGAATCAGCAGAGCCAGTGAGCACTGGGGGAGCTGTGGCTGGCTCCCTGGCACTGGGACAACCCTCTGAGCTCCTGTGCCTCTCTGGGAAGGGATATAAAATACATTACACCGAAATACTCTTAGACTTAATTAGGTACTTAATTATAAAATCCTTTGGAATCCTCTGCTGCGAGGTGAAGAATGCAAGGTATTAGTCACATTTTGGCTTTAGTGGTTTTAAGTACCTGCATTCAGGACCAGACATTGCTTTGGGTACTCCAGTGGGATGTTAATGGATTGGGAGCCTCCCCTGAGCTGGCACTCGGTGACAGCAGCGTGTCACCCAGCACAGCAGGGACACATTGCAATGCAAAGATGAGACAGTGCTGAGGGTGACTTGTCACCACCCTACCATGGATGCTTGAGTTCCAGGGTCACCTGAAGGAATCTGGGTAAGCAGAGAGCTGCAGATCCTGTGAACTCAGAGCAGATTCTTTCTGCCAGGAATCACAGTGAGAGCAGCGCTGCTCGCCCCACCACAGCTCTCCCTGGGTGCTGGAGCTGCAGTGTCCATGTGCTGCTGCAGCAGAGGGCACAGCTCCCCAGAGCAGCCTGCCCCGCCTGCAGGGGCTGCTGATCAGCCCAGCGCTGCCCACCGCCCTGTGCCACGCAGCAAACACAGCTGGCGTGCCTCACACGGCTCTGCAGCCAGAGCCACCACCCAGCAGCACGGGGCCAGCCTTTGGTTTCACCAAGGCAGCTCTATAAATAAACTTCCTTTACTCCCTGGAGCTGAGAACATCGCAAGTTTGATCAAAGTTTCTCTCTCAGCAGGGAGGTTTCCTTGCCAGCTCTTTGCTCTTCATGCTCATCCATGAAGGCAAAAAATAAACTCAATCCCTCATCAGCCAGCGAGCCAAGAGCTCATCTCCCGAGCAGGAGGAGCCAGCAGGCCCCCACGGAGCTGCTGGGTTAGCACAGGCACGGCCCTGCTTTGCGGGCAGCAATTTCCCAGAGCCAGCTGTTAAAAAACAGGGAATTTTCTAATTGCGGCCCATCCCAAGGGATTTATTTGCTGGCATTTAAATCCCTTTTGAACGCGCTTCCTACGAGCAGAGCAGCCGTGGTGTGGGCACGTGCTGGCTGTGTGCACGTGGAGCCGTCCGTGTGTGCCACGGCCCTGAGCCCTGCTGTGCCCTGCTGTGCCCTGCTGTGCCCTGCTGAGCCCTGCTGTGCCCTGCTGTGCCCTGCTGAGCCCTGCTGTGCCCTGTGCCCTGCTCTGCCCTGAGCCCTGTGCCCTGCTGTGCCCTGCTGAGCCCTGCTGTGCCCTGCTGTGCCCTGCTGTGCCCTGCTGAGCCCTGAGCCCTGCTGTGCCCTGCTGTGCCCTGAGCCCTGAGCCCTGCTGTGCCCTGCTCTGCCCTGCTGTGCCCTGCTGTGCCCTGAGCCCTGAGCCCTGCTGTGCCCTGCTGTGCCCTGAGCCCTGCTGTGCCCTGCTGAGCCCTGAGCCCTGTGCCCTGCTGTGCCCTGCTGTGCCCTGCTGTGCCCTGAGCCCTGCTGTGCCCTGCTGTGCCCTGCTGTGCCCTGTGCCCTGCTGTGCCCTGCTGAGCCCTGCTGTGCCCTGCTGTGCCCTGCTGTGCCCTGAGCCCTGAGCCCTGCTGTGCCCTGCTGAGCCCTGCTGAGCCCTGCTGAGCCCTGCTGTGCCCTGAGCCCTGCTGTGCCCTGCTGTGCCCTGAGCCCTGAGCCCTGTGCCCTGCTGTGCCCTGCTGTGCCCTGCTGAGCCCTGCTGAGCCCTGCTGTGCCCTGAGCCCTGCTGTGCCCTGCTGAGCCCTGCTGAGCCCTGCTGTGCCCTGCTGTGCCCTGCTGAGCCCTGAGCCCTGTGCCCTGCTGTGCCCTGTGCCCTGCTGAGCCCTGAGCCCTGTGCCCTGCTGTGCCCTGCTGTGCCCTGCTGTGCCCTGCTGTGCCCTGCTGAGCCCTGAGCCCTGAGCCCTGCTGTGCCCTGCTGAGCCCTGAGCCCTGAGCCCTGCTGTGCCCTGCTGTGCCCTGCTGAGCCCTGAGCCCTGCTGTGCCCTGCTGTGCCCTGCTGAGCCCTGCTGTGCCCTGAGCCCTGCTGTGCCCTGAGCCCTGCTGTGCCCTGCTCTGCCCTGAGCCCTGCTGTGCCCTGCTGAGCCCTGCTGTGCCCTGAGCCCTGCTGTGCCCTGCTCTGCCCTGCTGTGCCCTGTGCCCTGCTGTGCCCTGCTGTGCCCTGAGCCCTGAGCCCTGCTGTGCCCTGCTGAGCCCTGCTGTGCCCTGCTCTGCCCTGAGCCCTGCTGAGCCCTGCTGTGCCCTGCTGTGCCCTGAGCCCTGCTGTGCCCTGAGCCCTGCTGTGCCCTGCTGTGCCCTGAGCCCTGAGCCCTGAGCCCTGCTGTGCCCTGCTGAGCCCTGAGCCCTGAGCCCTGCTGTGCCCTGCTGTGCCCTGCTGAGCCCTGAGCCCTGCTGTGCCCTGCTGTGCCCTGCTGAGCCCTGCTGTGCCCTGAGCCCTGCTGTGCCCTGAGCCCTGCTGTGCCCTGCTCTGCCCTGAGCCCTGCTGTGCCCTGCTGAGCCCTGCTGTGCCCTGAGCCCTGCTGTGCCCTGCTCTGCCCTGCTGTGCCCTGTGCCCTGCTGTGCCCTGCTGTGCCCTGAGCCCTGAGCCCTGCTGTGCCCTGCTGAGCCCTGCTGTGCCCTGCTCTGCCCTGAGCCCTGCTGAGCCCTGCTCTGCCCTGCTGTGCCCTGAGCCCTGAGCCCTGCTGTGCCCTGCTGTGCCCTGCTGAGCCCTGCTGTGCCCTGCTCTGCCCTGAGCCCTGCTGAGCCCTGCTCTGCCCTGCTGTGCCCTGAGCCCTGAGCCCTGCTGTGCCCTGCTGTGCCCTGTGCCCTGCTGTGCCCTGCTGAGCCCTGCTGTGCCCTGCTGAGCCCTGTGCCCTGCTGTGCCCTGCTGTGCCCTGAGCCCTGCTGTGCCCTGCTCTGCCCTGAGCCCTGAGCCCTGCTGTGCCCTGCTCTGCCCTGAGCCCTGCTGTGCCCTGCTCTGCCCCGCTCTGCCCCTGCTGCTCCTGGCCAGGCCTTCAGATCTCCAACAGCACTGCAGGGACGACTTTGGATTTTCCGAATCTCCGCATAAGAAACTGTCTGGAATTTAAGAATAAAGGGACTTGCTGGGAGGTGTATGCGTAAATGAGCCACGCTGGAGCCTTTGAACTCCGAGGAGCCGCCCTTGGCATGTGCCAGGTGTGGTCACAGCCTGTGCTGAGCTCCTCCTCAGCTGGTGAGCAAGCAGAGCGTGTGCTGAGGTGTGCAGGGGCCTCCCACGCCCTTTCAGGGGGCAGGATGGCCCCGCTGCACCCTGCAAACCCATCCAGGCGCTGGCAGCTGCTGGGGTGCTGAACCTGGTCATGCAGCAAACATGGGACACTGAGCCAGAGGAAAAAGTTCCCCGTGTGACAGCTTGCC